CTTTCCTGCCCAGCACCTGTGTTCCGACAATACCTGAGGGAAGATTTGGGTTTCCGGTTTCCGAAGAAATGCTGCTGTGGGCTGGCTGTGGGCTCCACTGCTCCGGGCCTGAGGGGAACTGAGCAGGTGGAAGCTTGTGCTTCAGCAGGGCTGCTTGCTTCGTGGCGGCCAGGAAAGGGCCGAGGAGGAGGTCTGGTCCAGTTGCCTGCTCCCTACAGCCACAGGCCTCCCCTGCAGAAATCCCAATCCCTCCCAGCAAAACCATCAAATCATGAACCACTCTGTGGGGTAATCAGTGGTTAGGTCATACCCCTCATGATTTAGTCAACCTCCAGATAACTTGATCAAATCCCCAAAATGGTCCAAGCCTTCGACACAAGAACCTTTTGGGAAATGCTTCATATCCAACCATAATAATGTTAAATGTAAATTGTTTTCAAATATCAGTTAGAAGACTGATGAGCCAGATGTGGTAGCACACACCTGTAATCCCAGCACAAGGGTCAGGGATTTAAGGCCATTCATGACTACACATCAAGTTTGAGACCAGCTTGAGGAAGTCTTAAATTCCAAATACACACCACAATATACTGACACTGTTTTGAGTCTTGAAGTACAAACAAGCTCAAAGCAAGATGTCAGAGGACAGTGAAACCAAAATCGAGAAATTTTAAAGCCACACACACAGCCGTCTTCCAGAAAGTTCAACACAGTGGTCAAAACCTGTAGCAAAACTGAGGAGAAAAGAGGGATAGCCAGGGATTCAGCAGCTTTCTGCCAACACGCCTCAAACCGTCTTACAAAATGAAGTGGAGCGAGCCACTTACACGCAAAGAATCGAGCCATCCATGGCCCTCCAAGGCATGCCCCTAATGACCTATGACCTCTCAACAGTACCATGAGTGGGCACCAAGCCATTAACCATGGGCCTTTGAGAACATCATTCAAATCCTGGTAACCAGTAACAGAAATAAACTGGCTGCAGCCCTCGAAGGGAGAGCTTCATATACTATGTACTATGTACAATTCACACCAGTGACCCAAAGCCAGGCATACCACACCAATCATTAATCAAGAAAATGCCCCACTAGCCTTTAATCCCAGCACTCAGGAAGCAGAAGCCTCTGTGAGTTCAAGGCCAGCCTGGTCTACAGAGTGAGTTCCAGGATGGCCAGGGCAGTTACACAGAAAAACCCTGTCTTGGAAAAAAAAAAGAGAGAGAGAGAGAAAGGGAGGGAGAGAGGAGGGAGGGAAGGAGGAAGGGAGAGAGACAGAAAGAAAGAAAGAGAGAGAGAGAGAGAGAAAGAGAAAGAAAGAAAGAAAGAAAGAAAGAAAGAAAGAAAGAAAGAAAGAAAGAAAGAAAGAAAGAAAGAAAAGAAAGAAGAGAAAAGAAAAAGGAAGAGAAGAGAAGAGAAAATGCCCACAGGCCAGTCTGGTGGAGGCATTGTCTCAGCTGAGGTTGCCTCTTCCCAAATGAGTCTAACTGTGTCAAGTTGATGTCAAACTAGCCAGCACTCAAACTCAACAGCAAAAAACCCTAAAAGCCCCCCATTAGGAATAAGCAAAGGATGCCTGTGTCCCAGTGCTTCTCAACACTGGACTACGAGTCCTAACCAGATCAACTAGGCAAGAAAACAGTAAAACTGGAAAGGAAAACATAACCTTTTTATTCCAGATGTCCACATGAGCCCGTGAAGTAAAATATCAAAGAGGGGCTGGAGAGATGGCTCAGAGGCTAAGAGCACTGGCTGCTCTTCCAGAGGTCCTGAGTTCAGTTCCCAGCAACCACATGGTGGCTCACAGCCATCTAGAATGAGATCTGGCGCCCTCTTCTGTCATGCAAGCATACATGTAGATACAGCACTCATACATAAATAAACTCCATAAACTTAAAAAAAAAAGAGAGAAAAATATCAAAGAATTCCCGTGCAGACGTGAAGGTGTACCTGATCCAGCAAAGCCACAGGAAACAGGTCTGTCCCTACAGGTCACCCACAGAGCAGAAGTAACAAATCTCCACTTATGGGAGAAACACTTCGGGACAACCAGAGCCGAGGACACGCAACATCCATACTTTGAAAACAGTAAAACATAACTGAAAAAACACCAGAATGAACACACAGGCTTGAGGGATGGGACGGAGCTCAGTAGTAGCGTGCTTGACTGCCCTGTACAAAACCCAGGTTCAGTCCCCAACATGACTGGAAAAAGCAGAGGTACACTCTCGTGTTCATGGATGGGCAGACACCATAGTGCCGAGATGGATTATTCCCCAGACAGACTCAGTGCCTTCAGGAATCCAAACCTCCAGGGCTGGAGAGAGGGCTCTGCGGTTAAGAGCACTGGCTGCTCCTGTAGAGGACCTGGGTTCAATCCCCAGCCCCCACATGGTGGCTCCCAACTGTCAATGACCCCAGTTCCAAGGGATCTGATGTCCTCTTCCCACCTCCTCCAACACTGCACACACGTGGTGTACATACATACATACAGGGTAAACATCCATATACATACATACAGGTAAAACGTCCATGTACATAAATTTTTTAATTAAATAAAATTTAAAATATTCCCAACTCCCTGTAGCAGAAACGGACAGGCTAACACTAAAAATCGTATCAAAATGCAGGAAGTAGCCACAATAATCAATCCTGATGTCTTGAAAAAAAAAATAATAATGATGATCAATCCTGAAAACAGGCTAAACTGAAGACTCATACCTCCCAATTTCAAAAGTTAATTACAAGACTATAGTAATTAAAACATTAGTTTACTGGCTTAAGGTCAAACATATAGACCAATGGACTAGAAACGCCAAAAATAAACACTTACCTATACAGTATTTTCTTCTAAGATGGGGTCTTAATACATTGCCCAAGCTGTCCTTGGCCTTAAATGAGTCTCCTGCCTCAGTCTTCCAAAGAGCTAGGGCAACATCTACAGTACCCACCGGTGAGTTCTCTTTGACCAGGGTACCCACAGCATGACTGGGAACCCAACAGTGGCGCTGAGGACGTTGTATCCACACACAAGAGAATAACCCTGTTTCACAGCATCCGGTCCTCACAATATAAACTTTAGATCCTTTATGAGTTAAACGTGGAGCCAGGTGGTGGTGGGGAACGCCTTCAAATCCCAGCACTGGGGAGTCACAGACAGGCAGATCTCTGAGTTCGAGGCCAGCCTGGTCTACGGAGCGAGTTCCAGGACAGCCAGGGCTACACAGAGAAACCCTGTCTTAAAAAAACAAAAAACAGCCGGGCGGTGGTGGCGCACGCCTTTAATCCCAGCACTCGGGAGGCAGAGCCAGGCGGATCTCTGTGAGTTCGAGGCCAGCCTGGTCTCCAAAGCGAGTTCCAGGAAAGGCGCAAAGCTACACAGAGAAACCCTGTCTCGAAAAAAACCAAAAAAAAAAAAAAAAAAAAAAACAAAAAAAGAAAAAACAAACAAAACAAAACCCCACAAAAACAAAAACCAAATCATGGCCTTGCCACATGATGGCAGCTCTCCTGGCTGTCAGTTTGAGGCCACTGAAATCAGGTGATGAAGTATAGTGAGATGCACATCATTCACGGTGCTCCTGTCCACAGAGACTTTACCAAAGACCACACATGCCGCCAGCTGGTGGACGGCAAGGCAGAACATGGCGCTGCCACACGGGGGCGTCATGATCCAGCTGTAAGGAAGCAGGGAACACGATGCCCAAGCACTGGGCAGAGTCGGGCACTCTGGAGCCTGAGGCGCGACCGCAAGTTCAAAGCCAGCCAGGACATGACTGACTTCAACTTAAGAACATAAACCCTCCGTGAAAGAAGTCAACCAAACAACAACATGCCATGTTTCTATATATAAACACTATTTACATAAAATATTTCTATAGGGTCTGGAGCATTGGCTCAGTAGTTAAGAGCAGTTACTGCTCTTTCAGAGGACCCAAATTCAGTTCCCAGCAACTACGTGGCACTTCACAAACACTGGTAACTCCCACCCTTAGAGGGCCACTGCAGGCTGCATGCGCGTGCGTACACACACCCCAGAGTGATGGTTCCCCGGGTTAAAGGGAGCTGATAGAGATGACTGGTCACTGGTATTTCCTTCTGTGGTAATGACACTGGATGGGAGGTCATGATACTTGTATGACATTAGGAATGAAATTATAATCACTAATGGAAAACTTTATATTTATTATAACTTAAAATATAACCCAAAAAATTAAAAATGCCCTCAAGCCAGGCATAGGGGCATAGCACACACCTTTAATCCCAGCACTGGGGAGGCAGAGGCAGGCAGATCTCTCTGAGTTCAAGGCCAGCCTGGTCTACTAAGTTCCAAGATAGCCAGGACTACATAGTGAGATCCTATCTTGAAACAACAACACGTCCTCAAACCTATAAATGGTGCTTTTCCTGTCCCGACTGCCTGGTCCCAAATAACTGGACTCAGAGGCGGAATATGAATTAGAAATTCTTGGTCGATAGCTCAGGCTTGTTACTAGCTAACTCTTACATTTTAATTAACCCATATTCCTTAGTTATGCTGTCACATAGTGCCACCTTTATTAGCATGGCAGGCTCTTCTCCTGCTCCCTCTGCATCTGGCTGGCGACTCCTGACTCTGTCCTTCTCCTTCCCATCATCCTTTGCTTGGTGGCCCTGCCTATACTTCCTGCCTGACTACTGACCAATCAGCATTTTATTAAACCAGTTGGAGTGACAGACCTTTACAGTGTACAAGAGGATTATTCCCCAGCACAAACCCATGGGCAAGACTGAATTATAAATGTAAATATAAAATAGGGTTCCTGTCTCCTTCACGTAGAAGAACAAGAAAAAACATTTCAAAACGTCTACTGTGTTGGTTACTCCAGACTTTAATTATGACATAAAGCAAGGCTCTCACCAGCCCAGCGCCTGGACCCACTGCCCAGGCAGTGTTCACAGAGCCCCCCAGCCCTTCCCAGATGTGGACTTCTGGAAATTGAACCAAGTAACTGTACTCAGAGCTCTAAGCAGCCAAGCCTATTTATTTGAGCATATCTTTTCCTGGGCCACCCCAAGTGAGGCGATACAGTTACAAGACAGGACTTTGAGTGATCTATGCCTGGTCACTTTGTTGACCACACTGTCACCTATCTAAAAAGGCTGCCAGTTGGAAGCACATCCCGCCGGGCGGTGGTGGCACACACCTTTAATCCCAGCACTCAGGAAGCAGAGCCAGGTAGATCTCTGTGAGTTCGAGGCCAGCCTGGTCTATAGAGCGAGATCCAGGGCAGGCACCAAAACTACAGAGAAACCCTGTCTTGAAAGACGCCCCCCCCCCAAAAAAAAGAGGCCCATCCCAGGCCAACAGAACTCAGACACCACCTTGTGCTGTCTCTGCATTGTGTTGTGGGCTTTCCCAGCTTCTGAAAGGGGTCATTATGTTTCTTTATGTTGTCTTGAGGACACACACAAGTCAATCCCCACACATTGTCTGTTACAAAAGGACCAGACCTGAATGGGACACTTTCCTCATGGGAGCCAGTTGCCAACAGTGAGTGTGACCCAGGTCTTTCCCAGAGTCCCACTTGGTGTTGGTCTACGACAAGGGGCACTCACACCACAACCACCCACACTGGCAGAGCAAGGAGAGATGGAGTCTGCTCCCACCTGAACGCACGCCTTGCCTCGGTCACGAGGAGTGGGCGCTCTAAACTTAGTGATGAGGCCACAGAAGCCTGGACGGGGGTGGGACCAGGGCAGACTACCTGTGCCAGCCTGAACTCTAGATAACCTGAGGGAGAGAGCTGAGACCACCAGGGCCCGCCGACTGGGGGTGCTGCTTGCGGCCACCATCACTTTCCTGCAGCGGGGGCTCTGCAGGATGCTCTGGATGGGGCAGGGGCTCCTGCTGTCCCGACCTCCTGGGGGGCTCTTGGAACCTCGAGGGGACTCTAGGTCTGACTTAATTGGCTTTCCTCGTCCTCTCCTGGCTGGCTGGGCAACATGAAGGCTCCCAAGGTAAGCACCCCGACATCTCGGCTGTCATCCGTGACACCACGGGGGCACACCCCGGAGGGGGGTGCTGCCAGTCACAGGGCCTGGCCTCTGCTGAGTCACAGAAGAATGGCGGGCTGCTTGCTGTTCATAGTTTATTAGGGAGCGGATTTGGGCCAGCTGGTGTTTACATACTTGATCCCTACAGCCCAGCTGTGCCGGCTGTGGGGGTGCGGAGGGGACTCACTGCTCTGCTGGTCACTGGTGATGTCACTCCAGGAGGATGGGCCTTCCCCCTGGGTCCAAGGTGCCAGGGCTCTGAGCCCATGCTCAGACAGACTCCACTTTCAAGTTCTGGCCTGGGGAGATGATAGGTTTTAAGATCTCAGTGTAGTAAGGGCCAAACACCTGCTGGTTGTGATGTGTAAGGGTAACAAAGTTCTGGCCCAGTTCCGCCAGCTCCGCTTCGATGAGGGCGAGGCCTCCAGGAAGGTCCAACAGTGAGCGCTGCACACCAAGAACCAAGCAGCATTTGAGGAACAAGTGGATCCGCTGGTCTGTGAGCAGAAGAGAAGGAAAAGGCAACCGAACCACTGAGCAGCTGGGGTCCAGCTGCTCGATGGCCGTCTGAGTCACGTGCTCCAGAGCAGGGGGACAGCTTCTCACGGGGACCGGGTGTAGTACTCAAGTACTCAAGACTGCTTAGTATCAGGGTGTGGCTCACACCTGTAATCCTAGAACCCAGAGGCAGGGGGAATACCATGAGTAAGGCCAGCCTAGGGTACATATTGTGTCCAGGCCAACCTGGGCTGCAGGGTTAGGCCTAGGATTTGACATTAGAGAAGACATCTTCAACTGATTCCTCCACATGGGGCTGGGGTCTGTACTACAGAGAAATGTCTCTAAAGCAAGCCAGCTGGCTTCTTGCTGGTGGGTGGGTGTGGATGTCACACGGTGAGACTCCTGAGTGACTTAACCGGGTTGGGTGGACAGGATTTTTGTGTGCAGTCCTCCTTAGGACCATCTCATCTTTGACTGAACCTGGAAACTCGCCCACACCCACGGCTGGGGCCCCTCCCTCCAGCATCCCCTCCACCCACATGTGGTCGAGCTCACCAATGACGTTGCGGACACAGTTCCCCTCCTTGGCAATGTTCTGGAACTGTGCTATGAGAGACGCCGTGTTGTCACTGGTCAGAGGGGCGAGGCCCATGCTCTTGAGACCCTGGTGGATTTCCTGGGTCACCTGCTCACTCACAGTCTGCATGGTCTCCTCCGGCCTAGACCACAACAGAGGTCAGCTGGCACCTAGCAGGTGGCCTTGGCAGAGGCATAGACACCACAAAGCCTCAAGCAGAAGAGGTTAGGGACTTGGGGAACTCCTGTCCCCCATCCCAGCTGCCCAGCACCAAAGCCCGACAGATAGGTTCCACGTCCTGGTTCCCTCTAAACACCAGCGACCTCTGGAAATGGTGCTGTGTCCTGAACCGTAAAAACACTCTCAGGACCAAAGAACAGCTTGGCTCTCCCCAGGATGCAGATGTCTGTGGCCAATGCACTTTGTAAAGACAGAGACCCTTCCCAAGCATCCCCCCTGGTCACATCCCCCCCGGCCCCAAGCACAAACCTGGCCGGCTGTTTGTTTCCTTTGGGGAGCCGAGGATCAAGTCTGGGGTCTTGAACATACCAAACAAGTGCTGAACCCCTCAACTACATCCCCAGCCCAAATCTGGCTCTTCCATCTCCTCAGTCATCATCGACTACAGCCCAAACATGTTCAGGCCCACTCAGGTCTCACAACACCTTTTCTGGAAAGTTCTCTCCCGCCCCCACAAGCCCCAGTATCACTACAGAAATAAACCAGCACTGTGGCTGGTTCTAGAGGGCCTCTGGGTTTGTGGTGAAGAGCTAGAAACTCATGACCTGCCAGTATCCGAGACGCTTGTACCATCTACTCCTCTGTCTGCGCCCACCCTGTACACATGCCGGTACCACAGGGGCTAGGGCTGGCAGCAGGCTTCTTCCTCAGCGGCTCCCTTCCTTCTTTCTCACTGAACCCAGTCAGCTCACCAGTGGACTAGGCTGGCTGACCCTGAACCCACCCCCATCACGTGTTGGAGTTACAGACATCTGCTCTACGTCTGGCTTCTTCCTGTTTGTCTTTTTGGAGACAGGGTTTCTCTGTGTAGCTCTGGCTGGCCTCGAACTCACAGAGATCCACACGTCTCAGTCTCCTGAGTGCTGGGATTAAAGGTGTGCGCCACCACCGCCAGCTCATGCCTGCCTTTCTCTGAGCCTGTTAGGGATACAGCCAGGTCCTCATGCTTGCCCAGCAAAGCACCTCACCTTACCAGCTGAGTCACTTCCCCAGCTCCTTCCTTCTAGTCCTTTAAAAAAAGATGTCTGCAGCTCACCTGGAGTTAAATTCCTCCACCAGGGACTTCGTTATGCGTTTTAGTTTGTCCACAAACTGGGGTGAGCCAAACAGAACGCTGCCCGAGAAGCTATTGGCCACCAGCATGACGGAGGCAAGGATGGTCAGCTGCTTCTGCTGCAACTCCAGCTCCTGCAGCCGGGCTCTGTCCATCAGCAGGGTCTGAGGAAGGGGGGGGGGGGGGGGGGCGCATCAGAGGGATCCGGCCCAAGCTCAAACCCTAAAACAAGGAAATGCCCCCATTCCCACCTCAGGAAACTCTTCATTCTCAGGGTCCCAGATGAGAAGGTTCAGGAATCCCTGGGACAGCACCATTGCAGAGCTGAGTGGTTCCGGGGCAGTCATGTCACTGGGAGATGGGCCAGGCGAGCTGGAGGAGTCCCGTGTGTCAGGGCAACTTGCAGAAGGGGTGGTGAGGTCTGCGGCCGCCTGGGTCAGCCACTTAATGGTGTGATCGAGGAGGTCTACAACGGGAGGAGAGTGTAAGCGTCTTTACCTCTGCAGCTGCAGGCCACGGTTCTCTTCAGCTACTACTGTTCCTGTGGAGCATGGTGGAGCTGAGGTGGGAGCATTGCCATGAGTTTGGGGCCAGCCTGAGCTACATAATGAGTTTCAGAATAGCCAAGGCTAAAGAGTGAGACTTTATCTCAAAAAACTAAAATAATCACTAAATTAAAATGTAAAAAGTGTATGCTCCTGGTTAATCTGCCTTCTCCCTCCCACTCACTGTGTGAAGAATGTCAGGTGCCAGCCGTGGCCCGCCTCTGTCCTCACATCATACATACTGGGCTCCTTGTTGAGGCGCTCCTGGAACTCGGCCCGCTCAAACTGGATGGAGTGTTCCTGCAGCTGGGGCTGGAGGCTCTGGATCGTGTAGTTCACCATGTCCATTTTCATCTGGCCCAGCACTTGGAAGATGCCCCTAGCGCAGGAGAAAAGAACTGTGCTACAAAAGGACCCAAGCGGAGGGCAGCCAGCGGGGTGACTGAGGCCCGCACTTGGAGCCTGGAAGGAGCTTAACCGTAGCTCTGTCTCCTCCATTCACGGAAGGACAGGCAGCCGAGACCGAGGCCCACGGTGAGCCAAGTCGCTTTCACCATCCTCTCTTTCTGCTGGGTGTGGTGGAGCACAGCAAGGGCCATGGGAGGGCTCAAGAGAGAAGTGCTGTGAGTTCAAGTCCTGCAAGGGCTCCAGGGCAAGAGCAGCACACCAGCTCCGCACAGAAGGCAGCCTTCTACGTGATGCTCCTCTCCACTCAGGCCAGGGGTGGGGGTGGTGGCTTTTGAATTTTAACTCGCTGAACACACTTCCTAAATGCCACACAGCCACACCGTACATCAGAAGGAGACATGCCGTGTCCCTTACAGTGTGTGAACTGAGACCAGAGAAAAGATAGGACAGGATGTCTGTCACGTCTTGGAATTCTCTCTACCGCAGTGTCTTACACAAAGGTCCTGTCAAGCTAAGGATGACCCAAAGGTCCACTCTGGAAATGTGAAAAGCAACAGGCCCGAGAGGAGCAGGGCGTCACGTCGTCTCCAGCAGGAAGACAGCCAAGACAACGGCTGTCCCACAGTCTGCCGGCCCTTCCCAGCTCAGGCCCTGGAGCAGGTTAGGTGACTAATCACAAGTGTCACACCTCAGCAGCCGGACAGGATCCGTGATGCTCTCCAGTTTCTGCACGGCTTCATCTCGCACTGGTGCGCACAGCAAGACCATCATGTTGAGAATGTACTTAGAGAGATAGGTGACATCCAAGTCCCCACGCTCAGCTTGCTGATGGAGGAAGTCCATGTCCAAGGCCTCTTCGATCTCACTTCTTAAGCGGTTCTGGCGTGGTAACAACAGCGACAACAGAATCTGCCAGGCAGGTCAGAAGAGACATTCCGCTCAGTCCCACATTCCCCCATGTTCACGCCTTCACACACACCAGCCTATGTCTTTTTAGGATCAGGAAGTTGCTGCAGACATGCTCCACTGAGTATTATCTTAGCTAGTGATAAATGGGTCAGAGTGAGATAGAGAGTTTAATAAAGCCAAGGACCACACAAAGCACACGGGACACAGACAGAGCTGGGCTAGAAGCACTTAGGTTCAGTTCCCAGCACCCACATGGTGCTCACAGCCATCTATAACTCCAGACCAGGGGGCTCTAGCACCCTCTTCTGGTCTGCCTGGGCACTGCATGTACATGGTGCACAGTCACACATGCGGGCAAAACACCATACACACAAGATAAAAACACTCAATTTGTGTTTTTTAAAACTTTATTTTTATCTTATGGACATTAGTGTTTTGCCTGAATGTATGTCTGTGAGAGGGTGTTGAGTCCCCTGGAACTAGAGTTACAGACACTTGTGAGGTGCCATGTGGTTGCTACGAATTGAACCCGGGTCCTCTGGAAGAACAGTTGATGCTCTTAACCTCGGAGCCATCTCTCCAGCCCCTTATTTGTGGTTTTTCCAGACAGGGTTTCTCTGTGTAGTCCTGGCTGTCCTGGAACTAGTTCTGTAGACCAGACTGGCCTCAAACTCAGAGATCTGCCTGCCTCTGCCTCCCGAGTGCTGGGACTAAAAATAAATCTCAATTGAAAAAGAACCAGAAAATGTGCTCTTAATTTAAGAAGGTCAGTTATTTATTTTTTAAATTATTTCAGAGGGAGAAGACAGATGAGAAGAGCTGTAATGGGGTCTCTGATGCCCAAATGTGAGCTTCTGGTAAGTGACTCTTATTTATTTATCCCTGTGTCTCCTTAAGACACCCAACACGTGGAGCTGGAGGACACACCCATGCCTATTTAGCATAATCAAATACTAATTGTCTTAGCAGAATCCAGTTACCAGCTCCAGGTGGTACACAGAAGACTGCTTCATGTTACCTATTTCAGTCAGCAAGCTTTCAAAGTTACCAACTCAGAACTGCTTTGTTTCAAATCTGCCCTTCAGTGCCTGCCCTGGGAAGCAGGGGCTGACACCACCCGCCCCCCATGTTTCTCTGCTGGGGTTGCAACAAGCTCCCTCTGTAGTCTATAGAGGCTAAATATGCTACAAGAGGAAGGGCCTCCTTCACTGCCCCAGCTCTCTGAAGGAAGCTGGTCATCCCCGAAGATAAAAGGCAGGGCTCCGTGCCTCCGATTGATCACCCACCCCAAACAGAGCACATTATTCACCGGTTTTTGACTTTCAAGGCAGGATACATCAACACAGCTCGATGATGTAACTCACTCCACATGTTTGTGGTGACGCTCCAGAGTTCTTCAGAATTCTCTGTCTTTAGCCATGGCTCCCTTTCTGGTCCCGCTGCAGTCATTTGACATGACCTCTTCCCCACTTAAGTTACTCAGTGGTTGGTCTGTCTAGTCACCTTAGCAATTAGGACTTGCAGCCACTACCCACTGGTGCTGAGACAGGCCCTGGAACCTCCAAGCTACAAGTGAAGATATGCACTCACCTCCCTGACCTCTTTCAGAAGTTCAAGAGCACAGCTGAAGTCGGGGGGCACAGACGACAGCTGCTCTTTCAGGTGGTCCCAGAAGTCACTGGGCATTGTCTCCTTGCCCTTACCTTCCAGGCTACAAGAGGGTCAAACACACAGGTTACTCCCGGCATGGGAAACTGTTCCACGCTCAGAATCTAAACCCCAAAGACAACACCAGGAGCAACAGACGGGCAGGCACAGCAGGGCCGAGTCACTGAAGGCTAGGTGTGACTTCAAGGCACCCTCATGAGCAGAAGCAAGCCTGAGTGCAGCAGTGAGTCTTCCCTGTGTGCCTCACCGTGTATGTGTCTACACGCTGCTGCACTGAGCAGAAGGTTATTCATCACTTTTTCACTCCTAAAATCTAGGAAAATATTTTCCTGTTTTTGACAATACTCAAATGTCAGAGACATCTCCAGATCAGTCGGGCTTAAAATAAATTGGCTCAGCCCAGTGTGATGGCATCCTAGCACTCAGGAGGCAGAGGCAGGAGGATCTCTGTGAGTTCCAGGCCATCCTAGTCTACAGAGTGAGTTCCAGGCCAGCCAGGGCTACACACACACACACACACACACACACACACACACACACACACACACAAATTGTCTCAAAAAAAAAAAAAGACTACCCCCACCCACCTCTTCCTCATATATTCCTATTCTGAGAGCATTATCTATCCAGTCAGGAAGGCTATGCTTTGTTATTGTTCTTTGTTATGACTTTAAAAAATTAAAATGTCCACACTCAGGAGGCAGAGACAGGAGGACCAGCATAGGCTACATGAGACCCTGTCTAAACTAAAAAAATACAAAGCCAATTTAATATAGAATGGAAAAAAAAATTTTTTTTTTTTTTTTGGTTTTTCAAGACAAGGTTTCACTGTGTAACATTCTGGCTGTCCTGGAACTCACTCTGTAGACCAGGCTGGCCTCGAACTCACTGAGATCCACCTGCTTCTGCCTCCCGAGTGCTGGGTTAAAGGTGTGCACCACCACCACCTGGCTCAGAGAATCTTTTCAACAAATGCTGCTAGAATTACTAAACATCACATGTGGAGAACTGAATTTAAATTACGGTGGACAAAAGGATCATATTTTTGGACTGTGAACACTAAACCATTATAACTAGCCTCAATAGATTAATTGAAATAGGAACTTTTACAATCAACACACTTTGCCAAGGCAACAACAATTTGGGTTGTTTTGCTTGTTGGAGACGGGTCTCCCTGTGTAGACCTGACTGGCCTGCAACTCTGTGTAGATCCAGGTAGCCTTGAACTCACAGATCTGCCTGCCTCTGCCTCCCAACTCCTAGGATTACAGGTAGGTGTGTGTGTGTGTGTGTGTGTGTGTGTGTGTGTGTGTGTGTGTGTGTGTGTGTGTTTGTACCATCACACAACACTGAGTTTATTTTTAATAATTGTAATAGTTTGAAGGGAGTGTGGCCTGCTGGAGGAAGTGTCACTGTGGGGGCGGGCTTTAGGTCTTCTTTGCTCAAGCTTTACTCAGCGTGACACTCAGACCACTTCCCGTTGCCTGCAGACCAAAGATGTAGGACTCTCAGCTAGGCTGGCAAGCCACATCTGCCTGCATGCCACCATGTCGCACCATGATGATAATGGATAAACCTCTGAAAATGTAAGCCGCCCCAGTTAAATGTTTTCCTTTAGAAGAGTTTCCCGTGGTCATGGTGTCTCTTCACAGCAATAGACACCCTAACTAAGACAGTGATATTTACTTATTTATTGATTGGGGAGGGGGGCATGTGGGTCCTAGGAATTAAGCTCAGGCTGTGGGGCTTAGCAGCAAATGTGTGCCCACTGAGTCACGGAACCCCTCAACACTAAGTAATGATGTCAGGAAGTCAAACAGAGAAAACTATAAAAGCCAACACCTGCTTGAAGATAAGGTCTTCTCTTCTGAGTGAGAATCAAGCTTGGAAGTTTCATGAACCCTCTCCGCCAAGCCTGTAATTGAAAGAACTTCTGGTGAAGCCGGGCGGTGGTGGTGCACGCCTTTAATCCAGCACTCGGGAGGCAGAGGCAGGTGGATCTGTGAATTTGAGGCCAGCCTGGTCTACAGAGGAAGTTCCAGGACAGCCAGGGCCACACAGAGAATTTCTGGTGGACACTGATCAACCCACATAAATCTGAACCTATTCAGTCACTCATCTGTAGGACTCAAGGACAGCAGACATTTGTATTTCCCATGAAAGTGCTAGAAACACTCGGAGTCCAACATGGGGAAGGTTAGGTCAGGAAAGCGTGAAGTGAAGCTGACTAAAAGGTAAAGATTTCCAAGTTAAAAAAAAACAAAAACCACAAAGTAGGTGGGTCTCTGAGTTTGAGGCCAGCCTGGTCTACAGATTAAGTTCAGGACAGGCAGGGCTGCACAGAGAAAGCCTGTCTTAAAACTTTAAAAACAAAAACAAACCCACAAAGCTACAAACAACCAACTTGGGGTTTGCAAAAACAAACACACACTTGTTAACTGAGCCAGTTTTCTCCCTGTGCCTCTGCTGCCCCACAAAGCGGGTTCTCCCTCCGGGTAACAGACATCCATGTGCAGCGCCAACATTATTTGGTTTTCCAAGACAGCAGTTCCCCGATTTTAGGATTTCACTGACTAGTGAAATTTCCAAGAAGATTTAAGGTTAAAGATCACAACTTTCAGGGCTGGGGAGATGGCTCAGCAGTTAAGAGCACTGTGCTGCTCTTCCAGAGGTCCTGAGTTCAGTTCCCAGCAACCGCAGAGTGGCTCACAACCATCTGTAATGAGATCTGGCGCCCTCTTCTGGCATGTAGGCAGAACACTGTATACATAATATATAATAGATAAATAAATTTTAAAAATTTTTAAAAAAATCACAACTTGCCAATTCTTTGTGTTGTGAAGTATGGACAAGAAAAAAATTCTACTCTAGGACCACCCAGACCTAGGTCTGTAACAAATGAAGCAGGGGACCGGTAAACAGGGACTCAGGATGCTGGCCATACTACTTTGTAAAAATGTGTCTTTTAAAATGGTTACTATTGCACAGCACAGGCATGTGTGAAGGCCAGAGGTCAGTCTGGTGGGGTTGGGTCTGGCTTCCCACCTTTACTGTGGGTGCCTGGGATCCACTGAGACCTGTGTGGAGAGCTCAACTGCTGAGGGATCTCACGGGCCCAGAGAGGTAGAACTTTTCTATAGTAAGAGATTAAAAATGTAAAAGATAGCCGGGCGGTGGTGGCGCACGCCTTTAATCCCAGCACTCGGGAGGCAGAGGCAGGCGGATCTTTGTGAGTTCGAGGCCAGCCTGGTCTAGAGAGCGAGATCCAGGAAAGGCGCAAAGTTGCACAGAGAAACCCTGTCTCGAAAAACCTAAAAAAAAAAAAAAAAAAATGTAAAAGATAAATAACTGGCCGGGCGGTGGTGATGCACGCCTTTAGTCCCAGCACTCGGGAGGCAGAGGCCGGCGGATCTCTGTGAGTTCGAGGCCAGCCTGGGCTACCAAGTGAGTTCCAGGAAAGGCGCAAAGCTACACAGAGAAACCCTGTCTCGAAAAACCAAAAAAAAAAAAAAAAATAACTGTAGAGCAGATTACATAGGATAACGCTCTCTCGCTCTCTCAGAAGAATTTAAAGTCACACTGTAGCCTTCACACAGTAAAGAAGAAAACATACAATGCGGAGTCACTGGATTTTACTTTGCAACAAATCTGAAATATCTCAACATAAGAAAGGTGATTGTGGATTTTCACAGAAAATCCAGGGTTATAAGAAGGTAAACTAGAGAGGTGGGTGACTGAGCGGTTAAGCCCACTGGCTGCCTTTCCCTAAGAACTGAGCTCCTTTCCCGGTTTCCACGTCCAGTCCCGGGGGATCTGGCGCCCTCTTCTGGCCCTGAACGCGCATGTGCACACACATAACATACAATTAAATATCCTTTTACAAAAACAAGGTGACCTGCTGCTGCGGCTCCTATCTTCCGCCCCTGGGAACAATCCCGGCCAAGATGGCTGGTACAACACAGTCCACGACGTAAACAGACCCACTATTAACTCACAGGACCACGTGAGGGTTAAGGGAAGCCTTCAGCGCGGGGCTGAGCGGCCGTGGCGGGGCGTCTTGAAAACCCGCGGGAAACACTAAAACCCGCCAACCGCAACCAAGCGGCTCCAGAACAAGGAGGGACAACGTGCGACTGAGGCAGACTTCTGAAAAGTCCAGATCGCCCCAAACACAACACTGCAAAACAAAGCAACCCCAATACACGAACTCCTAAAACGGGAGTCCGATTATACCGTCCCGAGTTACTTCACCTGTGGACGTCACCGCCTCCAGATGACGCTTCATCGGCTTCACCTCCAACCCCTGACCCTCACGCACGCCACCCGCCCCAGGGTTTAGAGGAACAAACCACGCCCCCCCCCCCGAACCCCCGGGACCCGTGCCGTCCTTTCGTGGATCAGCAGCGACCCCGCGTGGCCCCACGGGCAGAGACTAACTGTGGAGCGTCCAGGCAGATCCATGGCAACGCCGCCGCGCGGGAACCCGGGCGGTGCGGGCGGGCTCGCGGTCCCGGGCCCCGCCGACCCTGCCTCGGGCGGGCGGCTCCTCGAGCTCGGGGTTAAGGGCCACGTCCGGGGCGGCGGAGGCCTGGCGACAGTTGAACCTACGTGATCGGTGGCCCTGGGCGCTGCTCGCGCTCTCCCGGGGGTGTCCCGCGCGGGGCTCTCGGGAGGCGCCCTCGGCCGTTCTGGCTTCCCTCCGGGCCGCCCTCTCCTTCACGTTTGGCATCTCGGTGGTGCTGGTATCTGGGTCGGGGGCAGATGCGGGAGGCCGGTCGGGGCCGGAGGGACCAGCGCTGGCGCAGGGAGGAAACTGAGGCCGCGGAGCCCAACCCTACCCTCCACCGCGAGGCGCCTTCCCCGGGCCAACGCCCCCCGGCCCTTCACCCCACCCGGTCCTCACCACTCCCCCTCACCTCCTCCAACCCTTCCCTTCTCCCCCTCCGCCTCCCCTCACCTCCTCCTCCGCCGGCCCGCCCACTCTGGCTGGCTCTCCGGCGCGGGGCGGGTAGGCGGCTCCGGTTAAACCACCCGGGGGCGGGGCCGGGGCGGGGCCGGGGCGGGGCCGGGGCGGGGCCGGGGAGCGGGGCGGAGCCACTGAGCCCCTCGTTGGGCCGTCACGCAAACCCCGCCCCCCACCCCCCACCCCGCGGCCCCGGCAGGAGTGGGAGCGCCCGGGATTCGAAAACAAACCGCTCGGGTGCCCTGGCAACGCGGCACGTGCGCAGCCCTCCCCCTCCACCGGCCACCGACCACCTGCCGCCAATCAGGGCGAGACCAGGATGGCCCGAGACGCTCACCTTCAGCCCTCTTGATTTCCAGGTGTCAGGGGTAGCCTGCCGAGCACCCAGGACGGGGGGCGGGCCTTGAACTTCTGACCCTCCTGCCTCCGCCTGAGTACTGGGGGTCACCGGTGTGAACCCCCCCCCCCCGTGAAGGGTTCATGTGCTGGGGATGGAAGGGGCCTTAGGTCCCCACTGGCTGAACTCAGTCCCCAACCCTCAGAGTCCTCAGGGGCAGGAGAGATGGCTCGGCGGTTAGAAGCGTTCGAGACCCATCACCCACAAATCACCATTTGTGACTCCGGTGTCAGGGCATCCGACGCCCTCTTCTGGTCTCCTGGGGCACTGCATGCACGTGGTGTAGTTACATATATATGCAAGCAAACACCCATACACAGAAATTACAAGTCTTTTTTTTTTTTTTTTCTTTTTCTTGGTTTGGTTTGGTTTTGATTTTGGAGACAGGGTTTCTCTGTGTAGCCCTGGCTGTCCTGGAACTTGCTCTGTAGACCAGGCTGGCCTCGAACTCAGAGATTTTTCCTGCTTCTGCCTCCAGAGTGCTGGAATTAAAGCCACGTGTCACTGCCGCCATGGCTTAAAAATAATAATAATAGCCGGGCGGTGGTGGCGCACGCCTTTAATCCCAGCACTTGGGAGGCAGAGGCAGGCAAATCTCTGTGAGTTCGAGGCCAGCCTGGTCTCCAAAGCGAGTTCCAGGAAAGGCACAAAGCTACACAGAGAAACCCTGTCTCGAAAAAACAAAACCAAAATAATAATAATAATTAATAATAATAATAATAATAATATAAAGGAATTAGGGCTGTAGCTTGATTGGTAGCCTTGGGTTCGCTTCCCGGCACTGCTTAAACCAGGCATGGCGACAGGTGCCTGTAATCCCAATAGTCAGGATGTGGAAGCAGGAGAATAAGAAGGCTGCCCATGAGTTCCCAGGCAGCTTGGGATAAATGAGACTCTATATGTCTCAGAAATGAACTTACTTAAAAGGATGGAAAGGAGAAAGAGAGCACTCTGGTCACTGGCCAGCTCTCAGTCCCGGGCAGGGCGCTCAACACACCTTTCTTCCTTAGACTTTGTATCATCAGCTCTAAGAACCTCTGCCTGGGGTTCTTGCCTTGTTAATGCAGAGTGTGAATTTCATGAACAACTCAGTTTTGAAGCAGAAAACTGTGAAGAAGACGAAGGTTTTTACTCTAAAAGCTCATCAAGAACACGAGAGAGAGAGAGAGAGAGAGAGAGAGAGAGAGAGAGAGAGAGAGAGAGAGAGAGCTATCCAGAAAGCATCACCACCCACCCAAACTAACTCACGCTAAACCTTGCGCCCCCTCCTGCTCCCTGACACTCCCCTCCGGTGTCACTGTGAAGCAGCCTCTCCTTCAAAAGTGAACGGAAGCTGCACTGTGATGTCACACTGTCTCATTGTCGTATAATGAGGTATTTAGACCTCTGTTGATCTCTCCTTTAAAAGGAACATGCAAGGCCTGGAAAGAGACTACCCAAATGGCAGCTCAAAACCTGATGCCCTCTTATGCCTCTAAGGGCTCCTGCATGCACATGGCGCGCACGCACACACACACACACACACACACACACACACACCCACACACACACACACACACACACTAACACATAGAGACTGGAGAGATATCTCAACTGTTAAGACACCTGCTGCTCTTACAGAGGACCAGCACTGAGTTCCCAGCACTTACATGGCGGCTCGCAAACATCTGTAACTTCAGTTCCAGGTTAGCCAGTACCTTCTGGCCTCTCCGAGCATTAGGCATATACATGATATACATACATACATATACACGTACACACACATACACACACATGCAGGCAAAACACACAAAAAATAACATTTTTAAATATTAAAATATTTAAATTATTTTTGTTTTTGTTTTGTTTTATTTTTCAGATAGAGTTTCTCTGTGTATCCCCAGCTGTCCTGGATCTCACTCTGTAAACCAGGCTGGTCTCAAACTCTCAGAGATCCGCCTGCTTCTGCCTCCCCGGTGTTGAGATTAAAGGTGTGCACCACCATACCAGTCAAAAAGAAATTTTTAAAAGTCCAGAATTCTGTTTGGGTATTTTAATGTCTGGGAGAAAAGAAAAGTTGTTTTTTTCTTTTTAATAATAGCACATTTTCCCACTGTTGGTGGGAGTGCAAACTTGTACAACCACTGTGGAAATCAGCATGGTGGTTTCTCAGAAAATTACGACTCGAACTACCTCAAGATCCAGCCCTACCACTCATGGGCATATACCCAAGGAATGCTCAATCATACCACAAAGATACATGCTCAAATATGTTCATAGCAGCACTATTCATAATAGTCAGTACCTGGAAACAACCTAGATGCCCGTCAACTGAAGAATGGATTAAGAAAATGTGGTACATATACACAATGGAGTACTACTCAGCAGAGAAAAACAATGAAAGCATAAAATTTGCAGGCAAATGGATGGAACTAGAAAATATCTTCCTGAGAGGTAATCCAAACCCAGAAGGACAGATGTGGTATGTACTCCCTCATAAGTGGATACGAGATATAAATCGAAGAACAATCAGACTGCAACCCACAGATCCAGGGAGGCTACCGAGCAGGGGGGACCCTAGGATGACTGTGACTTATAATAAGTTTTGGTTTTAATCACTGGGCAAGCTTTAGTGAAACATTTCACTATTAGGATAAGAATTTGTACTGTATCAAGCTGATGAAAGGATATGCTGGCTGTACTTTCAGGAGGGGAGGCTAAAATCTTTTTAGAGTATGGATTTGCCTACAGAAAAATGTCTGCCATAAATCAAACAGTGAAGGGGAAGATGAATAGGAATCTCACTTACACAACTTAAGTAAAACACAGCTCTCTGAACAGATGAAGATAGGTCTCTTCTGTATCACAGAATCTATGATTTGGCTTAAAAGGGCTTATTGGGAAATGTTATCATTTTTACTATTTTCTACAGAGAAAATATTTTCCAGTTTTAGATAACTCTGGACTTTGGAATTATAACCTGTTTTTATGTTAAAAAAAGAAAAAAACATTTAAGTGGAAAATGTTGAAGGCCCACTGAACTCGATGTTGTATTTACATATCTCTATCTGTATAAAATAATGATTACGAATGTTTGTTTAAAAGGGAGAAGTGCAAATGTGAATTTAACAAGAAGTTGTAGATTTTCAACACTGTACACAAACTCCTTTGTTACAAATAAATATTTCTGCTTCTGAAAAAAAAGATCTAACTTCTCTTGGAGGGTTGTGGGAGGAAGCAGAGCGGGCACTGGGGGGGGGGGGGTTGCTGGTGGCGGGGCTGAAGAAGAGGAGACGATGGGGGTAGCAGAGAGAGACTAAGAAGTGTTTTCCCAGGGTCAGGCACGGTGCAGACTCCATGATCCGTGTCGTTAATAGCTGTCAGAACCAACCAGGCAAGAGCCAGAGTCGAGAGGCCAGGGCTATGAGATGAGGTAGGCGCCCCTTGTCCATTAATGGTTTACTCGGTGCTTTGACATTCCAAATGCATATGACCGTCACACAGCCCTACCCGTGCAAAGAGGCAAAAGTGGGCATCATGTCGGACTGTCCCCAGGTAAGAGGCAAGATGAGAGCGATTTCCAGGGGTAACCAAAGGCACTGGTGGGCAAGGTCTTGACTCTTTTTTTGTTTTTGAGACAGGCTTTCTCTGGCCCTGGCTGTCCTGGAACTCACTCTGTAGCCCAGGCTGGCCTCAAACTCACAGAGATCCACCTGCCTCTGCCTCCGGAGCACTGAGATTAAAGGTGTGCCACCCCTGCCCAGCGAGGTCTTGACTCTCGATCATACGCTTCTCACGAATTCACACTGACTGCCTGGCTCTGGTTGAGAAGCTATCTACATACAAGGAGGTCTAGCGCACAGTGGCTTGGTGGAGTCTGAAATGGGGTACAAGAGAAGGGCGGGTCAGAGAAAGGATGGGGTGCTCCGGGTGCTCCAGGTGCTCAGGTCAGGTCAACTTCAGCCTTTATCCAGGATCCCAAGCATATACGGTTTCCTGTACGGCCCTCTGTCTTTGGAGCTGTCTGCCTAGTTCGCCCTCCACCTCAGGCTGCCATTACACTCTAACGGTGACGGGATTCTCCATATGTCTACCAGGTAGCAGGATGGTCCCTCCTCACTCACCTGACACCGTAACCCCGTGCATAATAAACCTCAGAAATGGGGGTGTCTGCACAAGCAGCCTAAGGTGGGAAGTAAAAGCCTTGCTTGTCCTCACGCTGAAGTGTGCCCACAGCTGTCCGGCCCAAAGCTCACCTGACTCAGGTCGGGTCTCCTTCGTAGTTCAGGCTCAGATGGAACTCCCTGGATATAGCCCAGGCTGACCTCAAACCTGTGATCCTCCTGCCTCAGCCTCTGAGTACTTGGGACTACAGCCATGCATGTACCGTTTCTCCTGACTTCAGGGTTCACTTTTTATACTACGACACCATTTTCCTTTTATCTTCTGGTCGTAATATCTATTTGTTGAGGCTGAGTCTCACTCTGGAGCCCAGGCTGGCCTCATACAGGCTATGGAGCCCAGGCTTCCTCATACGTCTGCCTCCCAAGTGCTAGGTTGCAGGTGTGCAACACCACACCTGCCCTCCACATCTGCTCGAACACTCAAATCCGACTCTCCTCTTCAATTATTTGAGAATTCCTGTCCTAGAAGGAAGGTTTACCTGTACTAATCTGAATGCCTGTGTCTCCCTGCG